CTATACCATGGCACATTCTGACAATATTTGATAATGCCTATACTCCCAGGCTCACAGGAGCACTATGAGAATAAGTGAGATAATCTATATAAACTATAAAATAGCATACAAAATGTAGACTTCTTTTATCTCTCTTCATATACTACAAAAAGGAGAAACAGTTGTTGCCTGAAACTTAACATCCCATCTCCTGCTACCCTGTCTTTACCAAGGCATCCCATGCTTGAAATGTGTCATCTCTCTTTGTTTTTTTCTCTACGAATCAGAGTCACAAAATAAAGCTTATCTTCCTTCAAGTCTCAGCTCATATGAAGCCCTCTCCATGAAATAAACCTTGTATTTACCTTTTCTGTAGAGACATTTTAATCTCTTCGGAAATATGTAAGCTTCTTGAAGGCAGGGAAAGTTTTGTCTTTGTATGCTCAGTGCCTTGCATATATTAGGGGCTTACTGCACATTTACTGAATTGTTGAATCATGTGAAAATGTACTATAAATTACAAAGCTCTGGAATTATTTTCTGGATCAGATTTATAACCGCACTGATATAGCCTAGTGAAAACCATGCAATGCCACCTCTCTCCAGCCTCCACCTAGGTCTGAAACCAAAGGAATGCTGGGACCATGGGATTTGATTATAAAGGACTTCACTATCTCTTTTCCATTTTTCAGGCCCAATACAACATTTCCTAGTGAACTCTATGCCATGGCCCCATGCCCTATTTTCAACCTCTAAGTCTGAGAAAAATAATCAAACCTAACCCACTCCTCTTGACAAGGGTATCTTAATCAATCTCCTTATTACTCTATTTACTCCATTTACTACTCTCACTTATTTCTCCTAAATACTCTTTCTTTGACTTCATTCCCATATGTATGTGTGTATTACCCTATTAGAATGCAAGGCACACTGGTACATTGTAAGCTGAGCTGTAAATTGGTACAACCACTTTGGAAAGCAAATTGAAATTAAGCACAAAATGTTTATACCCTTTTACCCATAGATTCCATTACTGGGAGCCATTGATAAGAAAGTGCTCATCTATACATACATACACACATAAATGTGTATGTGTATATGTGTGTACATATGTATGTATGTATGCATATATATCAGCACTTTTCATAATAGCTGAGAATTGGAAACAAAGTAGATACTCATCGATTTGAGAATGGCTAAATAAAGTACAGTACATGAATGCAATGGGATATTACTGTGCTATAAGAAATGATGAATGTGATGAATACAGAGAAGTACGGAAAAATCTACATGAACAGATGCACAGTGCAGTAAGCACAGCCAAGAAAACATCATACACAATGACTACAACAATGCAAGTGTAAAGAACACATACACACACACACACACACTAACAGAATCAAAAGTTGATGTTGCAAAATTAAAAAGAAGAAACATGTGAAAGAAGAGAGGATGCTCCTAATCCATCCCATTGCAGATGTGTGAGATCTTTGTAAGTGTTGTATGCTGCACATGTTTTTAGACTTATAAATGTATTGTTCCCTTGTACTGATTTTTATCTCTTCTTCGTAGTTTTTTTTTTTTTGTCTTTAAAAAAATTCTGTTACATGAAATGACTTTCTGGGAGGACAAGAGGACAAATACTGAGGAAAGCTATGATATTATAAAAAATAAAAACAAAAGACAAGAGTTAAAACTTACTTTAAAAAAATAATTTGTGTACTTTAAAGACAGAGACTTGCTTGATGGTATTTGTATTGCCAGGGCTAAGTAACATGCCTGGAACATAAGAAGTGCTTAATAAATGCTTTCTGACTGATAACCAATGAGGCAAATACTTTTGTCAAGGCAGGTTAAATGGCTTGTCTTAAGTCAGGTAAGTGACAGCCAGTAAGTGTCAGAGGCAAGACTGGAATCCAGGTCTTCCTGGCTCTGAAACAAGCTCTCTATCCATTATATCACACTGCCCACCAAGGACAGCTACATGGCACTATTATTATAAATCATAAAATGTTTGAATTAGAAGGGAGACTGGAGATTACTTAGCTCTCTCGTTTTACAAATAAAGAAACTGAGGGCTAGAGGGATTGTGATGTTATGTGATTAATAATATATGAACAATTAGTGATAGAGCAGGATTAAGATAACTGAGGTTCCTAGTCCTACTTAGTCCATTGCTTTCTCTACTATATCATGCAGTGGTGCTAGAGCAAGGAGAATTCAAATAAATTATCCAAAGCAACTTGGCAGGTCGTGGCTAAACTTGAGTAGAACCTATTTACTAGACTTACAGATTCATAGAAAATTAGAGCTGGAAGACACCTTAGAGATCATCTGTGCCAGGGATAATTAACCTTTTTCATGTCCTGAACCTCTCTGTCAGTCTGGGGAAGCTTATAGACCCCTTCCCAGAATAATGTCTTTAAATATGTAAAATAAAATTATAGAATTATAAAGAAAATCAATTATATTGAAATAAAGATGTAATTTTTATTTCATTAAGAATTGCTTTTTATTCTAATATAATAAAAATGACTATTCTACCTAAGCTAATTTACTTATTCAGTGCCATACCAATCAAACTATCAAAAAATTATTTTATAGAGCTAAAAAAAATAATAACAATATTCATTTGCAATAACAAAAGGTCCAGAATATCAAGAGAACTAATGAAAAGAAATGCAGGGGAAGGTGGCCTACCCATTCCAGATTTTAATTGTATTATAAAGCAGCAATCATCAAAACTACTTGGTACTGGCTAAGAAATAGAGTGGTGAATCAGTGGAATAGGTTAAGTATGGAAGACACAGTAGTCAATGACTATAGTAATCTACTATTTGATAAACCCAAATACCCCAGATTCTGGGATAAGAACTGATTATTTGACAAAAACTGCTGGGAAAACTGGAAAAACTGGAAAAGAGTATGACAGAAACTAGGTATAGACCAAAATCTCACACCATATACCAAAATTAAGTCAAAATGGGTTCATTATTTACATATAAAAACTGATATTATAAGCAAATTGGGAGAGCAAGGAATAGTTTACCTGTAAGTTTTATGGAGAACAGAAGAATTTATGATCAAACAGGAGATAGAGAACATTATGAAATGCAAAATGGATAATTTTGATTACACTAAATTGAAAAGTTTTTGCACAAAGACAATGCAACCAAGATTAGGAGGGAAGGAGAAAATTGGAAAAGATTTTTTACAACCAGTGTCTCTAATAAGGGCCTCATTTCTAAAATATATAGAGAATTAAGTTAAATTTATAAGAATACAAGTCATTCCCCAATCGATAAATGGTCAAAGGATATGAACAGGCAGTTCTCAGATGAAGAAATTAAAACCATCCAAAGTCATATGAAAAAATGCTCTAAATCACTATTAGAGAAATGCAAATCAAAACAACTCTGAGGTACCACATCACACCTATCAGATTGGCCAACATGACAAAACAGGAAAATGATAAATGTTGGAGATGATGTGGGAAAATTGGAATTGCATTGTTGCTAGAGTTGTGAAATGATCCAACCATTTTGGAGAGCAATTTGGAACTATGCCCAAAGGGCTATAAAAATGTGCATACCCTTTGACCCAGCAATAGCACTTCTAGGGCTGTATCCCAAAGAGATCATAAAAATGGGAAAAGGACCCACATGTACAAAAATATTTATAGCAGCTCTTTCTGTGGTGGCAAAGAATTGGAAACTGAGGAGATGCCCATCAACTGGGAAATGGCTGAACAAGTTGTGGTATATGAATGTAATGGAATACTATTGTCCTATAAGAAATGATGAGCAAGCAGACTTCAGAAAAACCTGGAAAGACTTGTGTGGTCTGATGCTGAGTGAAGTAAGCACAACCAGGAGAACGTTGTACACACTAACAGCTATGTTGTGCGAGGACTAACATTGATAGACTTAGCCCTCATCAGCAATGCAAGGATCTAAGATGTCTCCAAAGGTCTCATGATGGAAAATGCTATCCACGTCCAAAGAACTAAGGAGTTTGAATGCAGATCGAAGTAAACTATTTGCTATTTTTTTCCTTCTGTTTTGTTTTGTTTCCTCTTTTTTGTGGTTCCTCCTATTGGTTCTAATTCTTCCTTACACATGACTAATGTGAAAATATGCTTAACAGGAATGTATAAGTATAGCCTATATCAAATTGCGCGCATCTTAGGGAGGGAAGAGGGGAAGAAGAGGGAGAAAAATTTAAAACTCAAAATCTTATGGAAGTGATTGTTGATAAATCAAAATAAAATAATAAAAAAAGAATTTCTTTTTAGTAATACCTAGGATTGTAAAGGAAGATAATTATAAAGAAATACAGTTATCAACATATTTAAAAAGGAAGTTCACAGACCCCACATTAAGAACCCCTGAGCTAGGCCAAAGACTATATTTTGTAGAGGAGGAAACTCTCAGAGAAGTAAAGCATTGTGCCTAGAGTTGGATGTCTATATTGCCTACAATATCACACTGCCCCAATCCATATAAAGAGTACTTAACATAAAGACTTCTCTCTCTTGTACTGGTATTTGTCAAAATTGGCTAAAGAATATGCGTAGAGAATGTTCTACTGTGATGGCAAGAATATGCAAATAACACATTGAGACAAAGGCAAAAAAACACTAAAGTCTAGGGCTAACAGATCTGGGTTTTACTAGCCAAAGTGAATCTTCATTGTTGTTGTTTTTGCAAGAGGTGGGGGATAGGGAGGGGGAAGGAAAGGAGGGAAGGAAGGAAGGAAGGAAGGAAGGAAGGAAGGAAGGAAGGAAGGAAGG